CTATTTGCCATTACTATTAATTATCGTATAGCAGTGTGTGTAGTATAGCCAGGAGATCCTAAGAATGTCTGGCAGCCAAAAGTTCTAGCACTTTTAGCGTTACGCACCACTAGGTGGCGAGCTAGACTTGCTTTTAATGTATGGGTGTGAAAGGTGAACCATGAGGAAAGCTGACAGAAAGAAAGTTGACTCATTTGAAATGTGGTGTTGGAGGAGGGTTTTACGGATACCGTGGACCACCAAAAAAGGCAAAATAAGGGTGCTCTAGACCAAATCAAGCCTGAACTCTCCCTAGAAGCTAAAATGACTAAACTGAGGCGGTTGTACTTTGGTCACATCCTGAGAAGACAAGACTAACTGGAAAAGACAATAATGCCAGGGAAGTTTGAAGACAGCAGGAAAAGAGGAAGATCCAGCATGAGATGGATTGATTCAATCAAGGAAGCCACAAAGGCCCTCAGTTTGCAAAACCTGAGCAAGGCTGTTAATGATGGGACATTTTAGAGGTATTAATTCATAGGATTGCCATAATTTGGAAGCGAATTGACAGCGCTTAACGCACACACACACACAGACACACAGACACACACACAGAGTAGCTGACTGGACTGGAGAAAGATGTCCTGACCCTGTTAATAGAGATTTAGTGTGTGGAAATGGGCCATTGAAGCATTATATGGCAGGAAGACAAATAACATACCATTAAGCCTCTATTAAAAAGGACAGGACATTTTTCTTCTAGCCAGTTGGCAGAGCCAGTTTGGTGCAGTGGTTAGGAGTGCGGACTCTAACCTGGGAGAGCCGGGTTTGATTCCTCATTCCTCCACATGCAGCTGCTGGTGTGACCTTGGGTTAGTCACAAGTTTTGTTTGCTCACAAGCAGTTCTCGAAAGAGCTCTCTCAGCCCCACCTACCTCACAGGGTGTCTGTAGTGGGGAAGGGAAGGGAAAGGAGATTGTAAGCTGCTCTGAGACTCCTTCGGGTAGTGAAGTAAATCCAATCTCCTCCTCCTCCTCTTCTATGATGGTACACATGGATGGAGTTACCCCATTTTCTTCCTCACCACAAGCCTATGAAGCAGGTTAGGCTGATGGAAACTGGTGGCAAGATCTCCTAGTAACCTCTTCTGACCCGAGGCAGTCATCTTTGGTACAAGTTACTGGCCGCCACAGGTCAACAAAATTTGTTAAGGGGCTTACAGGTCACCTCCTACCTTAAGTAAATAAACAGAAGTTCCAGACTCTCTCTGAATCATGCATGGTATCATACAGTTTAAATAAAACCTCTGCATTCAGAGGTGGTAAACCTTTGAACATCAGTGCCGGGTGGCCTCTATGCCCCGTTGTTGGCCCTCCAGAGGAACTGGTTGGCCACTGTGTGAGACAGGATGCTGGACTAGATGGACCCTCACTGGTCTGATCCAGCAGGGCTCTTCTGATGTTCTTTAATACCAGACTTATAGGGAAGGCAGGGAAGCAATTCTACCCCTCAACAACTGCCTATCCCTCCTTAGGGAAATCTGTTTCACAGCTTAAGAACCATAGCTGTAGAGTTATACAGTGATGCAGTCTATGAGGAACCAACTGGCTAGCCGCATAAATCCCTGAGTAATGCTGGGGTAGTTAGTGGGTATATAGCAACCTAGATAGCCCAACCTAGCCTGATCGCATCAGGGCTTGGAACCTAAGCAGGGTAGACCCTGGTTAATGCTTGGACGGAAGACCACCAGGGAAGTCCAGAGGCAGGCAATGGCAAACCACCTCTGTTCATCTCTTGCCTTGAAAACCCCATGACGGGCTCACCACAAGTGGGAAGAAGAAGAGTAGGTTTTGATACCTCACTTTTCTCTGCCTTAAGGAGTCTCAAAGCAGCTTAGAATCACCTTCCCTTCCTCCCCACAACAGGCACCTTGTGAGGTTGGTGAGGCTGAGAGAGTTTAGAGAGAACTGGGACTGGCCCAAGGTTCACCTAGCAGGCTTCATGTGGAGGAGCGAGGAATCAAACCCGGCTCTTCAGATAACAGTTGGCCGCTCTTAACCACTATACCAAACTGGTTGCAACTTCACGGCTCATTTTTACTTCCTTCGTGTGTGTAAAGAACAGAGTAGCCACACCCACCCATCTGTGGTTGGATCCTGTGACTAACATGGCTGAAGAAACACTGGGAAAGTCATATGGCTACAGAAGAATGGTTGAGAAACCCAAGCTGGAAGAAAAGGCGTTAAAAAGGTCTCCGTTAGAGATGTGAAGGCCCGGGAAAAACCCGGAAAAATTCGGAGGGGAAATGTTTTTTTCCCATTTTTTTCCTGAAGCCTTTTTTGGTTTTTTCTGAAAAATTGGAAAAATTGAAAAAAGAAAAGGGAAAAAATTGATTATGTAACATTTTATTTTAACATGATGAATAAAATATTTTAGGAGAAGGTGTTCAAATATTTTCCAAATCATTTCTAAAAAATATGTATAGTATCAGATTGATCTAATTTCTGTGCACTGAGGACAAGCAAGACCTAGGTTACAAACTGAACTCTCCAATGCAAGAACAAAATGCATTTCTTCCTTTAGTCTCAGCTCAGGAAGGATGGCTCCAGAGGAAACTAATTTATGCAGTAGCCAAATCGCTCGCTCATAGCTTTAATGCCAGGAGCTCACAAGGTAGAATTTTTGCTCACAAGACTCCACAGCTTAGAGGGAACATTGCTTGTGATTCTAACTTGCTCTTCAGCCTAGCCCTTTTGAGACACTGCTGGTGTTTGCCCAGAGGTTCCGCAAAAGGCCTCAATCAACAGCAGGTAGACAGGAGCGGCTCTGAAAACCTGGAACTTGGCCTGCTCTGAACTTAAGAGAAGAGCCTCCAACAAAAAGAAATCAGGAAAAAAAACCAAAAAACCCACACACATAAAAACCCAGCAGCCAGCCAGGAAAGTAACTATGCTTAGATTATGAGCGCTTGGGACAAGCCTCCCATTGTGATAATACATGGAGCAGATAACGGCTCTTCTATTCAAGCGGAGGGTCGAATAAGTAGCTCTGAAAGGCTTTCAAACAAGGGAGGTCTTGGCGGATAAGTGGGAACAATACTGTCAGCTCTCGCACTGAATGAAGGGAAATGCAAAGCAAGCCGTTGGTAACACCTGCTCTCTTTTCCCAATGATTGCCCCCCCCCCCCGTACCACGCTTTAATCATGGGAGTTCCTGCAGCGCATATGTTAGGATGAAGACATATGCACATAACCGCTTTCAATGCCTCATGAAAGCTCCAACTCAGAGAATCAAGGGTAACGAGGGTATTTGGCTGCGAACAAGAAAAAAAGGAGGTCTTTTCAAAGGTTTTGGAACTGTTGAGAATGGCCAAGGGGGACAAGAAATTTCAGTAAGGAGGGAGAAGGTTTAAAGGACCCATAATTGGATATATATTTAAGGTTAAGTTGCAAAAGTTTACAAGCGAGCCAGTGTGGTACAGGGCTGGGCTTTGAGTCAGAGTTGCCAGCCCGGGGCTCATAAATATTACGAGCTTGGAAGGGCAGAGCCCTTGAAAAACAGCAGCACTGATGCCCTAATGTCATCTCTGGGTGAAAACTTGGAAGTGATGTCGCACATACACCTATGCCACTCCAAATCTCCTTCAAATCTCTCTGGTAAAATAAAGACACGGGGAATTCCTAGAGTGTCTCAGAATATGTATGACATCACCTCCAGGTTTGCACCCAGAAGTGGCATTGAGGTTTCGGTGATACTGTTTTTCAAGGGCTCTGTGCCCCGTTTTCCTCCTGCTGCGCTGCCCAAAGGAAAAAATGCGGGACATGGGGCAAAAAACAGGGATTATCCACCACCACCTGGTAAGTGGTAACCCAAGTGGTATTTAAATACCTAAATCAGCCATGAATTTGTTTACACACTTCATTTATTGTCCGCCTCTCTCATGGAGACTCAAGGCAGATTACAACTAAAAATAACGCAGTAAGAACAGTACAGTGCACCAAACCAGCTAACGTAGACACTAATATAGACAATAAAGCCGCAGTCCTCTGCAATGCTCACTCTAAGCCGTGGAGTCTTGTGAGCAAAAATTCTACTTTGTGAGCTACTGGCATTAAAGTTGTGCGTGAGTGATTTGGCTGCTGCATCAATTAGTTTGTTCTGGAGCCATCCTTCCTGAGCTAAGACAAAAATGTGTGAGCCAGAGGCTAAAAAACTACGAGTTAGCTCACACTAACTCAGCTTAGAGGGAACACTTGTCCTCTGCATGACCTAGGGTACAGTCACCACCTCTCAGCCTAACCTACCTCATGGGGTTGTTGTGAGGAAAAAACGGGGAAGAAAGAACCACGTATGCCACTCTGAGCTCCTTGGAGGTCAGGCAGGGGGAAAAATTAGATAAATAGTAATGTTGTCAGCACACATCAGCCACTCACACAACTATCTAAAACAAGAGGTTTATGCTTCTGGGACACACAACTAAAACACAGGCCCGAGGTAGTTATAGTCACTCCATGTACACAACCAATGAACACACAAAGCTCCCTTACGCCAAGATCCAAGTCACAGAATGGCAACACGGTCTCAGGGGACAGTCAAGGTCTGCCCCCGACAGGAACTCTGGCAGAGAGAATTCCTTGCCAATGCCATTTCTAGAGATTCCGAACATTGAACCTAGGACTTTCCACATACGCAATTTGTCCTTTACCACTGAACCACGGTGGGTCCTAACCTGGAAGTGGCTATGGAGTGCCACAGTAGATCAGGATAGGGTATGAGGAGAAAGGAAATATGATCACCCAAAAAATAATCAACAAGGTCAGTCAAACAAACACAAATCAGAGTCTTGTTTGACACTGTATAGTCCTGTACCACCTAGGAATGTTTGCATTCACGTGTTTGCAAAGAACCCCACATCAAAAACTCCTATCGTACTGCAAGCTTACTGATTTGTCTCTAATACAGCAAAACACTCTGACCATCCAAGCAACCATTCCCGAAGGCAAAGGTGTGTTTCACGTTACCTGTCGTCTTTATTGATCTGGTCCCCAAATCCCACCGTGTCAACGATCGTCAGCTTCAGACGGACGTTACTCTCCTGAAGTTCATAACTTCTCGCTTTCAACCGCACGCCGGGCTCATTGTGAGTGGCAGGATCACTTTCAAATTTCGTGTTGAACAGAGTGTCCATCAGTGTGGATTTGCCAATGCCGGTTTCCCCTAAAAAACGAAAAAGAGAGAGAAGAGGAAAAAGCCATGTCCTTATAAGAACATAAGAGAAGCCAATGTTGAATCAGGCCAATGGCCCATCCAGTCCAATACTCTGTGTCACACAGTGGCCAAAAATACCAGCTGACATCAGGAGGTCCATGAATGGTGCCAGGACATTAGAAGCCCTCCCACTGTTGCCCCCCCCAAGCACCAAGAATACAGAGCATCACTTGCCCCAGACCGAGAGTTCCTATCTATACTTTGTGTCTAATAGCCACTGATGGACCTCTGCTCCATATGCTTATCTAATTCCCTTTTGAAGCCGTCCATGCTTGTAGCCGCCACCACTTCCTGTGGCAGGGAATTCCACGTGTTAATCACTCTTCAGGTGAAGAAGTACCTCCTTTTATCTGTTCTAACCCGACTGCTCAGCAATTTCATTGAGTGCCCACAAGTTCTTGTATTGTGAGAAAGGGAGAAAAGCACTTCTTTCTCAACCTTGCTCTATCCATGCACAATCTTTTAGGTTTAGAATTAAAAGGTTATGTTAAAATGTTAAAATTAAATGTTATGTTGCGTTTTAAGTTCAAAATTCCCCTCCTTGATGCAAGAGACTGGATTGAAACTCCATGTTCTGCAAGACAAGCGTGTTTCCATTCACGCAAGAGTACGAAACCATTCCTGCAGACGCAAACCTTTCCCCTTACAAAACTGCCACCCCACACTATACCCCCACTATTCCCAAGGGTTCCCTGACTCTCAGGAGCAGCTTTTTGGGAAGCATGGGGACTAAAGTTGCCAACTTTCAGGTGGGAGCCAAAAATGAGAGATCACGGGAGGAAGTAGAAATCCAAAAACAACATCCGTGACAAAAATAACGAAGAGTCAATAAAGATACGTTGCAAAATAATTTACTGTAGTGATTCTGTAGAAAATTCTCTTCTCTTATCGCTCACACGCTAACAAATGCTGCGCAATGTAAACAATTCGTTTCACAATAGTTGCTTTATCTGAGCGTGTAGCAATCACAATTCTTACCAATTACTACTTCTCAACTCTTGAAGGAAACATTCCATGTTGACTTTCTAATAACAGAACCCAAGGTCTTCACAACGTTAGCATGTGAGTGATAATAGAAGAGAATTTTCTACGGAATTACTACAGTAAATGATTTTGCAACATATCTTTATTGACTCTTCGTTATTTTTGTCACGGATGTTGTTTTTGGATTCCAACTTCCAGGTGGGGCCTGGAGATCTGGGACTACAAGCTGATCTCCAGACAACAGAAATCAGTTCCCCTGGAGAAGATGGCTGCTTTGGGGGGTAGACTCTGTGGTATTATACCCCACTAAAGTCCCTCTACCCCCAATCTCCAGGAATTTCCCAACCAGGAGTTAGCAACCCTGACAGGGACTGCAACAGGAAAGGGAAATTTTTGACACTTGGTTCCAAGTTCCAACCCTGTATGTTCCAATTTCAGCATATTTATCCCAGCAACTTTACTGAGTTCGCTATGAGGAAAGCGCTGGCTATTTTAAGATTTCATCCGATGCCTTCAGCTGTCTTGGATGATTGTTTCAGGCCAGGCTGTAACCATCCCTCTTTGCCTGGTGCAGCTGCCGTGTGCAGAGATTCCCTCATAACCAGTAGAACATTCCGGAAGCCCTGCCGTGAAGACCAAGCACTTTCCAATATGTGTCTTTTGGTGACCCCAGCAAGGAGCTTTCAAGGAAAGTGAAAAGCAGAGGTGGTATTGCTATTGCTTCTCTCTGCAGAGTATTCCTCAGTAGTCTCCATTCAGAAGAAGAAGGATTGGATTTATACCCCGCCCTTCACTACCCAAGGGAGTCTCAGAGTGGCTTACAAACTCCTTTCCCTTCCCCTCCCCACAACAGACACCTTGTGAGGTAAAAGAAGAAGAAGAGGAGATTGGATTTATACCCCGCCCTTCACTACCCAAAGGAGTCTCAGAGCGGCTTACAAACTCCTTTCCCTTCCCCTACCCACAACAGACACCCTGTGAGGAAGGTGGGGCTGAGAGAGCTCTGACAGAAACTTGTTCTTGCCAAAGGTCATCCAGCCAGGTGAGGTCGATGGGGCTGAGAGAGCTCTTGACAGAAACTGCTCTTTTTCAAAAATAGCTGGGCCAGAACTATGGCTTGCCCAAGGTCATCTAGCAGGTGCAAGTGGAGGAGTGGGGAATCAAACCCGGTTCTCCCAGATTAGAGTCCGCGCACTTAACCACTACACCAAACTGGCTCAAAGTACTAACCCTGTTTAGCTTCCAGGATCTGACAAGATCGGGCTATACCATGCCTCCTACCCTTCCATGTGTCTTTCACTATCTATGTTAGCATCAGGAGCACGTGGAGTGAATTAAAAGCAGTTCCTCTTTAAGTTCAGGAACCGTTGCCGACTTATAAGGAAAGTCTTTCTTAAATAAATAACAGTTTCCTTGAATTAGCCATTACCCTCCCGGAGAACTTCACTATCCTCACAGTATAGCAGTTCAAAGGGGGATTTTTTTTCTCCCGGATCACTTAAGCGAACGAAGGGTAAAATCCAAAATGCACAAGCTATATAATACTATCTATTAAGATCAATCAAAATACTACACCACAGTATATACCTAATTACACTTCACCAAGTTGGAAGTTAAAAAGGAAAAAAAGAGAGAGAAAATTACTAATGTATGCAGCAGCCAAATCGCTCGCTCACAACTTTAATGGCTCACAAAGTCGACGTTTTGCTCACAAGACTCCACAGCTTAGACAGAGCATTGGTGGCCAGTAACAAACTGCACCACAGTTACCATTCTCCAGGTAGCACTTAAGAGATATCCTGCTATTACAATTGGTCTCCAGATCACCAGATTAGTTCCCCGGGATAAAATGGCTGCTTTGGAGGGTGGACTCTATGGCACTATATCCAGCTGAGGCCCCTGTCCTCCCCAGGCTCCATCTGCAAATCTCCAGGAGTTTCCCAAACTGGAGCTGGCAACTCTACCCACTCTCACTGTTGTTGGCCAAAGGGGTCTTGACAACTATAATGCCATGAAGTAAGGGTTGCCAACCTCCAACCTCCAATCTCCTCCTCCTCACAACAACCCTATGAGGTAGGTCAGGCTAAGAGCGTGACTGGCTCAAGGTCACCCACCAAGCTTCCCTGGCAGAGTGGGAATTCAAACCTGAGTCTCCCAAATCCTAGTCTGACACTTTAACCACACCACCATGATGGCTCTCTAATGAAAGTATGTATAAAGGAATATTAAATGGTGTGTACCTTTACTAATTCTTTACACAGATATTGAGCAATTTTCTAACTTCCCCTTTCCCTGAGTTACTCCCCCTGTCAACTTTCCTAACTCACTCAGTCCCTCATACACTGAGGTTGTGATCATACACACAATTAGACCCGACATAGGCACGAATGCCGGCAGATTTAAAGGGTGCGATCAGACAACAACATCTGGGAATTGGCAACCCGATTTGCTCCGCCGCAGAAGCGGAGTTAAAAGACACTGGGGAAAATGCAGTAGTTAAGAGGTTGCAACGGGCCACGGACGGGCCATCCCGTGTCTGATTGCTCCAGCGCACTCTCGTGGCGTTGGGATGGTCTGATCAGGCCATCCCGACTTCGTGCCGTTGTCCCCCCCCCCCCCGCAGTATGCGCGTCATCTAGGGCTGCCAAGTCCCCCCGGGGGGCGGGGAAACCCCTGCCCCAGAGGCCCGTTCCCCACCGCCGGCAGATTGGGCCCTGGGGGGAACCCCGCCCCGACGTGCGCATCACCAGGAAGTGACGTTAGGACGCCGAGCATGCTGGGGGCGGGGCCACGACCATTGGAGGGAAAACTCTATGGTTTTCCCTCCGAGGGTCGTGGCCCTGCCCCCAGCGTGCCCGGCGTCCTAACGTCACTTCCTGGTGACATGCGTGCGGCGCGCTCCAGTCACCGCCCAGGAGTCCCCCGCTGCGGCGACTGCAACAACTTGGCAACCCTAGCGTCATCACAAACTCCATATGGAGCCCTCGGTGCGGAGGTGCGATTCATCGATCCCTCAGTTAAGAGCATGGGGGGGGGGGAAGGGCACAACCCCCTCACCTCACCC